AGAGGTGCATATCCGCGTCCGTCCGTCCGTCTGTGCGGCCGTCCACCCGGAGTTCCCGTTGCGTCGTCGTCGGAGGAGGAGGAGACGGAGGAGGAAGAGGAGGAGGAGGCGGAGGAGGCAGAGACGGCGGCGGAGTAGGCGGAGGAGGAGGCGGAGGAGGAGGAGGAGGAGGAGGCGGAGGAGGAGGGAGGAGGAGGAGGAGGAGGAGAAGGAGGAGGCGGAGGAGGAGGAGGCGGAGGAGGAGGCGGAGGAGGAGGAGGCTGAAGAGAAGGCGGAAGAGGTGGAGGAGGAGGAGGAGGAGGAGGAGGAGGAGGAGGAGGAGGAGGAGGAGGAGGAGGAGGAGGATGAGGAGGAGGAGGGAGGAGGTCCGCGAGGGGCGGGCGGGCGCCTCCCGGAGGGCGGCACGCGGCACGTGCCCGCCCAGACACCCCCGACGCCATGATCTTTTCATGGCGTCGACCCCCAGAGGTCTCGATCCATTCTCGCCCTGACATCCTCGCGTCGCGAGGAAGCGCAGCGGCAGGTTCTTGGCCGTTTTCGGCCTCCGGGGGCCCTCGCTGGGCTTTGGCCCCGTGAGAGCGGCTCGGGATGAAAGGCAGGTCCCCGGGGGATCCCAAATCCCCTGTGGAGCCAGGTTTCGGACAAAATCATGACGTCGGATGTTCGGGTGAAGGGGGCCGGGGTAGAGGGGCTGGATGATCGCGGCGCATCGCCGATGCATCCCGGCGATGCGGTGCGATCTTCCGTCCCCACCTTTCTTTGCCACTTTTGGGGGGCTTCAATCCTTCCTCCATTCTGGGCCCCATCCTCGGCCTCATCGCGCGCGCGATGCCAGGAGGCCGTGGACCGCGCGGCGTCCCGCTCCGCCATCGCTGCCGTCACTGGGAGGTGCGCGCGTCCCTCCGTCCAGCCGACCGCGCTGGGGTCGTGGGATGTGGCCTGGATCGGCCTTGGTCGAAGGGCGCGTCCAGGTCTCGCCCTGCCTGCGCACACTCCAGATCCTATCCTCGAGAGGTTTGTCGGCCCAGGCAGGAGGCAGGAGCGAGGAACGGCGGATGCGAACCCGTCCCAGATACGAGATCCGAAGCCTGCCCGCCGCCCTTCGAACCCGCCGACCATCGCTTGGGATCAGCACGGGGCCCACCGTTGGGAGGCCTCTTCGGTCGTGCCCGCTGGCAGAGTCTGACCCCCGCATGCGTCCCTGGGCTCCCCAGGACTTGGACCTGTTGGGCTGGGATTCCGTCGTGGCCATCTGCCATCGCTGGGGGGCCCCAGCAGAGCCTGGCCTCTGCAAGGGGCAACGTCTGGCATCCAGGGGGTGAGCAGCAGGAGCTGCCGTCGTGGCCGTCGTGGCCGTCGTGGCCTGTGGGGCTGGGATGCAGTCGTGGCCGTCTGCCATCGCTGGGGGCCCTCCAAAGAGCCTGGCCTCTGCAGGGGGCAACGTCTGGCCCCCACGGGGGGTTTGAGAGGCAGGAGCTGCCTTGGAGGCGAGGCGCCCGCGGGCTCCGTGCGCGAGGGGGGTGGGAGCTCGAGGAGGCAGCGAGGTTCGGAGGAGGAAGAGGTATCGACACTGCCACCATTCCCTCGTTGTCGCCTCTGGGCCTCTTGGGAGCCCTCGTCGCCACGGCTGGATTCGCTTCGGAATCCTGGTCAGAGCGCACCCCGCTAGAGGTCCGGGGAGTAGCGGTATCGGTACCTGTTGGTTTTCCCAGAAGCGGGCCCTACAAGAGGGGGTCGTGCCGGCGTTTTCGTGATGTGCAGCGCCACGTTTCCCGTGTTGGGTTCAGAAGGAGGCATCCGTCTATGCCCCTCGACTTGGACCAGAGTAGATGGGTTGAGAGGATCGCGCCGCGTCGCGGATGCATCGGCAACACGTCAGCAATGAGGCCAGGAGGAGGGGGATGCGGGGGACGAGGAGGGGAGTAGGATGAGTACGAGGAGGAGCAAGAGAAGGAGGATGAGGATGAGGATGAGGCGGAGGAGGAGGAGGAGGGGGAGGAGGAGGAGGAGGAGGAGGAGGAGGAGGAGGAGGACGAGGAGGACCAGGAGGAGAAGGAGGAGGAGGAGAAGGAGGAGGGAGAGGAGGATGAGGAGGAAGAGGAGGAGAAGGAGGAGGAGGAGGAAAAGGAGGAATGGGAGGAGGAGGATGAGGAAGAGGAGGAGGACGAGGAGGACGAGGAGGAAAAGCATAATGATGAGGATGAATCTCAACATTCATACTCGTACTAATACTCTAAATCATGATAATAAGAATAATCACAGTACTACTATCACTAATAATAAGACTAATATTAAGAAGAAGGAGAGGATGATGAGGAGGAGGTGGGGAGGGAGGAGCAGGAGGAGGAAGTAGGAGGCCGATGAGGAGGAAGAGGTGGAGTAGGTCTGCAGGATGATGATGATGATGCTGATGCTGATGATGATGAGGATGATGATCATTATGATGATGATTATGATGATGATGATGATGATGATGAGGATGACTATGATGATGCTGATGGTGATTATGTTGCTGATGATGATGATGGTGATGGTGATGATGATGGCGATGCTGATGCTGCTGCTGATGATGATGATGCTGCTCATGATGATGATGATGATGATGATGATGATGATGATGATGATGATGATGATGATGATGATGATGATGATGATGATGATGATGATGATGATGATGATGATGATGATGATGATGATGATGATGATGATGATGATGATGATGATGATGATGATGATGATGATGATGCTGATGATGATGATGATGATGATGATGATGATGATGATGATGATGATGATGATGATGATGATAATGATGGAGGAGCAGGAGGAGGAGGAAGAAGAGGAGGAGGAGGAGGAGGAGGAGGAGGAGGAGGAGGAGGAGGATGGAGGAGGAGATGAGGAGGGGGAGGACGAGGAGGAAGAGGCGGATCGGGACGAGGGGGAGGAGGAGGAAGAGGAGGAGGAGGAGGAGGAGGAGGAGGAGGAGGAGGAGGAGGAGGAGGATGAGGAAGATGAGAAGGAGGAGGAGGAGGAGGAGGAGGAGGAGTAGGAGGAGGAGGAGGAGGATGAGGAGCAGGGGGAGAAGGCTCGGAGGAGGTGGAGGAAGAGGACTGTTCTGGATTGTACTGGTAAGCCGAGGCTCACTCAGAGAGGCAGGGTGAAGCGCAACGACCCCGCCCACGGTACCGAGGTCCCGTAGGCGACATGGCCCCGTAACACCCTAAAGTGCACTTCCACCACACAGCGCGTGGAATACTACTCTCCTCAGCTGTCCGGGCAGCGTTCAGCAGAGCAGCGCGCTGTACACGAGCAGGCCAGGCCAAGGATGATGTGAGGGAAATGGACGGCCTCATGCAGGCGTTTCACTACGGATCCATACCTCAATGCCAAGCCTCCACACCTCTACGCCAAGCCTCCATGATGCCAGACTCCACGCAGCCGTCCTTGTTGCTCGTTGCTCGCCCTTCCCCCCCTTCAGGGCCTCGAGCAAGTGATGTGTGTGTGTGTGTGTGTATGTGTGTGTGTGTGTGTGTGTTTGTTTGTGTGTGTGTGTGCGTGTGCGTGTGTGTTTGTGTGTGTGTGTGTGCGTGCGTGTGTGTGTGTGTGTGTGTGTGTGTGTTTTTAAGGGCTCGGCCGCTCTAGACGCGCGTGCGCGCGCGCGCGATTGCTGCTTCGGACTTTCTCCGCCCTGTCGCTGCGCGCAGGGCCGCGACGCCAAACATGTGTATGTGTGCGTGTGTTTCTCGCTCTTTCTCCCTCTTACTCCTCCCTTCCGTCCTCTGCCTGCTTGACCGTCTGTCCGTCCGTCCGTCCGTCTGTGTGTCGGTCCGTCTGTGTGCCCGTCCGTCCGTCTGTCTGTCGGGCCGTCTGTCTGTCTGTCTGTCCGTCTGTCTGTGTGTCGGCCCGTCTGTCTGTCTGTCTGCCTGCCTGTTTGGTTGTCTCTCTGTTGGTCTGTCCGTCCGTCCGTCCGTGTGTCGGTCCGTTAGCTGTCTGCCTGTCCATCCGTCCGTCTGTCTGTCGGACCGTCTGTCTGTCTGTCTGTCCGTCTGTCTGTGTGTCGGCCCGTTTGTTTGTCTGCCTGCCTGCCTTTTTCGTGCGCTACGGACCGCGCGCCGGCCTTACTCCGCGTCGTGGCCCTCGTTCCCCAGGCGGCTGGGGCGTGCCCTCGAGGCGTGGCTGGTGGGCGGACTAGCATCGTGGGAGCCCGAGAGAGTTTGTCTTTCCGTCTGTCCGTCTCTCTCTCTCTCTCTCTCGTGCATGAGGAGAGGAGGATCTTTCATGACTGAACCCCAGGGAACCGTCCAAAGCCCCTCCAATCCGCTTCAGCTCCTCCTCCTTCCTCCCCCTGTTTGAGAGGAGGGTGGGCGGTAGCAGGGGGGCCAGGTATCACCGCCTGCCCAAGAGGCTCGAGGACGACTACAGAAGAACGGGCAAAGTCTTGGGCGCTGGCTACAATGGACAGGTCCCTGGCCCCACATTAGCAATTGCTGCGCGCCTCCTCATCATCCCCTCACTCCTCCTCGAATTTCTCCTTTTCTTCTCCTGCCTCTTGGTCCCCAGCCCTGCTTTGGTTGGGTCCGGAAGCAGCTTCTTTGTATAGGTCGTACGTAAGTTTCCTTAAGACCAGTACGGCGTTGTCGTGATCCCGAATCTGTAGCCCGTGATCTCTTGTCTTGGTCTCTGATCGTGTTTCGTGGTCTCAGGTCGTGGTTTTTGGTAGTGGCTTTGGCTCTCTGTTCGTGATCTCTGCTCTGGTCGATGCTCGTGGTCGGTCCCTGGTCGTGGTCTTTTGTATAGTGTAGTATAGTACAGGATCGTGCTTCCTTCCTCTTCTCCTCCCTCTCTGCCTCCCTCTCGTCCCCTTATTTCCAAGTCCCATCATGGTTCAGCGCGCCGTCGCGGCGCTTTGGGCCAGCCCCGAGCCTTCTGGAGGCGGAAGTGGGATCCGATGCCTGCAGCCTCCTTGGTGGTGGCGCTTGTCGGTAACTGATTCGGGGCGAATGGCATGGTGCAGCGGGCTGCCCGACGGCGCGGCGCCCCTCAGCTGCGCGCGAGGCGGACATCGCAGCCTATGTGGCAACCGCTGCGCGCCGGCTGTCACGGAGGCGGGGGCGCGACGCGTGCGAGGCGGGTCTCCGCCGCCTGCTGCCGCTGTCGTCTTCGACTGCAACGGCATGTGCTCCTTGCGAGCCGGTGGAGGAGGAGGCGCCGAACGTGTTCACGGCCTTTCAGGGCCGATTCGCTGGAGTTCGTCCCGCTGGTGAAGGATGTGCACGTGCTCTTCAGAGTCTTCCGCGTCCAGCTGGAGATCTTGGGTCGCGAACAGCGCCCCGCTCCCGACGTGATCGGCGAGAGGCTCCGCATTGCGGCCTCGGATTTCGTGCCTCACGCCCGCTTCCAGGATGCCGCCGACGAGGCGGTTCGTGCATTTCGGCGCCGCCGTGCAGATGCTAGGGCTGCGAGTCCAATGCCGATTGCCGAAAAGCCGCTTGTCCGCTTCGCCGAGACCGTGGAGCTTGTGGGGACCTCGGAAACGAGCAAGCAGGGCGACGTCGACATCGTGAGGGTCGAGCCCGTGCTGCAGGAAAACAGGGAGCAGGTGCGGACGGTGAACGCGCAGCTCAGCTCCGCGCGGGACCAGGGAAGTAAGCTGACGTTGCCCGTGGAGCTGGTGAGCGTCGGCGGAGCGCTGGCGGAACCCGTTAGCAAAGTCAGCTCCGCAGGGAACCAGGGCAGTAAATTGACGGTACCCATACAGCAAGTGGGCATCAGCGGAGCGCTGGCGGAATCCGGCGGCAAGGCACAAGTTCAACCTGTCGCGATTGGGGGCCGCACAGACAACCCCCAGCCTGACGAGCTGGAGTGCACCGAAGGCGCTGACCCGGAGATCGAGGCAGAGCTGGCGGCGCTGAAAGCGTTTCGGGCAGTTTTTGAGCCGTGTGCGGCGTCAGGCGCCCACGTCGGTGGTGATGACCAAGGAACAGGTGATGCCGCTGCGCCGTTGCAGACGGCGGCCCGCGGGTGCTGCGGTTGGCATGCGGTGTGCGTGAGGCCAGGGCGGAGGTGCCGACCGCCGACGCGCAGAGCATCAGCGGAGCCCTCATCGACCGCTTCGGCGCGGTCAGCTCCATGGTGGACCATGGCAGTCAGCAAACGTTGGCCCTGGGGCACGTGAGCATCAGCGGCGCGCTGGCGGAGCCCGTCAGCATGGTCAGCGCCGCGGGGGAGCAGGGCAGTCACTTGACTGTTCCCGAGAGGTAGGTGAGCATCAGCGGAGCGTTGGTGCAGGCCGTCGGCAAGGAACAAGTTCTATTTGACGCGACGGCGGGCCGCACAAACAACCCCGAGCCTGTCTTCGCTGCACCCGATGCGGCGAGGTCCGTCAGGGTGGCGAAGGCTTGGGCTGATATGAGAGACATGTTCTCGCAGGAGGAGGCGGGCGGGGCCGTGCAGGAGGTCGCCATATCTTCTCCAGGGCCGCCTCGACTTCAGGCTCGCGTGCTGCGGCTTCGACGGGGCCGAAGATCGACTGGGCAGCCAGTGGTGCCCGGTACTCGCTTTCGAGTGCCCTCGAGTGCGCAGGCGCCCCAAACTGTCGGCCGCCGCGGGCTGGCCTGCTGGCGGGAGCGGCTCCTGCGCGACGCGGACATTCTCCGTGGCGCAGGCGCAGCCCAGTCAGACTTCACGAGGGGGAGAAGTGGACGCAGCCGAAGTAGACGATAAACGCTGCCACGGCCAGGTCTTGGCTGAAGACTCCCACGCGCCCACCTCGCGCCGCTGATGTGCGCAGTCCGCCCCGCCGCAGGGCAACAGGCTCCAGTCCTTCGGATTGGAGCTTCGTGTCGACCTGTTCCCTCTGATCCCTCGTCCCCTTCCTTTCTTCTTCTTCTTCTTCTTCTTCTCTCGTTTATCACCTTTTCCTGTCCGACTCCTGCTTCGTATGATAATCGTGCCCAGTACCACCAGTAATCACGCCGTGAATGGGCGGACAATCATCCTATTCATCAGAATTACCATCCTCATCACCGCGAGAGTTGTGTGACAGATCTTGCAGATGGAGGCGAGGAAGAGGCGGAGCGGCGACCCACGACAGTGGGAGAAGAGGCAAACCACGCTGCCGTGGATTCGCTCTGCCACGATATCATTGTGGATACCATTAATAAGCTGCGCTCTTCTGCTTGCCAAGGCCCGGGCATCATCTATAACCATGTGGTGGCCAAGGCTCGAGCTTTTGCTGAATGATTGGTCAGAGTTACGGGCCTCCTCAGACAACGTCCGCATCATCGTATCTACCACCATCATCACCACCTCCCCTCCCTATATCGGGAGGGCCTTCGCCCAAGGCTCGTCCCGCCTCGGGCCGTGCCTGGTGTTTTCGACGCGCCCGTCGCGTCTCGTGAGCGGGGAGGCAGGAAGAGATAAAGGCATATGCAAGGGATTAACCAATACGACGACACTGTCGACGACTATAGTGCTGCTGCTGATGATGATGATGATGATGATGATGATGATGATGATGATGATGATGTTGCTGATGATGATGATGATGCTGCTGCTGATGATGGTGGTGATGATTGATGATGATGATGCTGATGATGATGATGCTGATGATGATGCTGATGATGATGATGATGCTGCTGATGATGATGATGATGATGATGAGGATGATGAGGATGATGATGACGACGATGATGATGATGATGACGACGACGATGATGATGATGATGATGATGATGATGATGATGATGACGCTGATGATGGCGACATCGGTCGGTTCAGGGGATTCCGAGGGAGCATTGATGCGGCTTGAGGAGGAAAAGTGAAGATGCATGGAGGATGAGACGGAACATACAAGTGTGAAGGAACAGTTTACGGTGTATGTCAAAACGGGGTGGCACTTCCTTGGTTGGGGTGGGCTGGGACGGAATTTGTGAAACCCTCCCCACGAACATGTCGAAATTGGAACCGATGATTCTGGTTGCGGCCCGCTGCCAGTGTGGGCCAATCGCACTCTTCACCCCTCTTTGCTTCCCTCGCAAGCCCCCCGCAGTTTACTTTCGGGGGAGGGCCTGGCCAATCGACGGCGGTACCGTTGCAAAGCGGGTTGTCCGCAACGTGGCCAGCCCTCCAACGACACCTGAGTGTCAACGCCACCCTGAGAAATAGCATGTACGCTGTGCTCAGGGCGGGTTAGGTGGGTGATGGCACGCGCCAACCCAGTTGTAAGGAGAAATCTGAACAATGATCATAGGCGAGCACACACATGTACATATATGCATATGTGTATATACACATATCTACACCGATAGTCATAGATAAATGCTGTAGGAATTCAATGCTTGAGTGATTTCGGTAATTTGAGTTATGAAATGGGTTGAACAGGGGGACAGAGAAGAGCTGGATGAACACATGCGGATGTGAGTGAGGCAGCGGGAGATGGTCGATGGGTGGGCCTGCATGCGGACGTGCGGGTGACCGTGTGACAGAGTGAGAGAAACATACATACAGAGAGAGAGAGAGAGAGAGAGATAGAGAAAGAGAGCGAGATCGAGAGAGAGAGAGAGAGAGAGCGAGAGCGATAATACATAAAGCGTGGGAGTGATACATATACGCACATAGGGAGAGAGATAGAGAGAGCGAGAGAGAGAGAAAACGAGAGAGAGAGAGAGAGAGATAGAGAGAAAGAGAGAGAGAGAGAGAGAGCGATGCATAGAACCATGTGAGACAGATGGCGAAGGTTTTTTTGGCGGAGCACAATGACACCAAGAAGCTGTGCGCGGTCAAGGCTTGCACTATGCAGCGTGATACCAACGTAGTGCTGATGTCAGATGAGCAGACCGTGCGGTGTCAGCCGTATTTGTGACCATTCCAGTGGTGACGGGGTGGGCGGGGACGCTATACGCCACCAACATTACCGGCAGTAGCAGGCGTATATGAAGGATGTCACGGCCGCAAGGGCATTTTTGGTATATGCGTATGCAGCCTAGTTCTTCTTTTCCCTTTCTTCATTCTTCTCCTCGTGCTGCGGCCAGGATCTGAACGGATATACGAGGTAAGACAGTGGACGAACCTTGAAGGCGGTGGTGGCGATTGTAGTCGTGGTGCCGCAACCCCTATCTTGGGAACTGTCGTTCGCGTGTTTGTTGGACGGGGTTGTCAACGGTGCTCCAGCTGCAACGCTTCGCCGCCTCCTCCTTCTCCTTCTCCTCCACCCCTTACCTATTCATCTGCTGCTGCTGCTCCTGTTCCTTTTCATCCTCTTCCTCCTTCTCCGTCCTCGTCCCTCACCGCTTCCTCCTCTTGCTGCTGCTGCTCCTCCTTGAAAGGGTTCGTCAACAACGCTGCTCGACTGTGCTGGCAAGTGTGGCCCGCAGACGCGTGTGCGGCCTTCCGTGTGCCAGGGGGTAGGGCAGGGAGAAGGACGTAGCGGGTGGGAGGGATGGAGGAAGGGATGAAGAGGAAGTGGTGGGGGGAGGGAGGGAGGGTGGAACGGGAGGAGGGAGGGAGGGAGGAAGGGATGAACAGGACGGGAAGACGGTGTCCCGGGGACGTCTGGGGACGATGGAGGGGGGGGAATGAGGCAGGGAGGGGTGAAGTGGGAGAGGCGGGAGGGAGCTGGGAGGCAGGGAGGGAGAGAACGGAGGGGCCGAGGGGGGACCATTGTGGCCTGGAGGGAGCAGGGCCAGTGCCGCGATTGAGATGCGGGCGCACGGGCGTTGCAGACCCCTGGGCCTTGCTGTTGAGGGGCAGGGCAGCTGCGGGCGGCGCCGTGTCGGATGCGCAGCCTTCTCCGAGGAGCAGCAGCAGCAGCAGCAGCAGCAGCAGCAGCAGCAGGAAGAGGAGGAGGACTCCAGGAGGCCAGAGCCATGCCCCGCTGGACGGCCCAGGGCCTACCGAATCACCTCCTTCGCGCGTAGCCAGTGGACCTGCAAGCGGGGCAGACTTTCGACCACGCCCTGCGGGTTCTCTGGGACCGCTTGCTCGACGAGCCCCAAACGGACAGGGAGTGGGCCAAGGCGTGCCTGCCGCTGCGCGACAGCGGTCTTGCTGCTGGCGCGGCCAAGCCCTGGCGGGAAGCTGCGCGCGTGGCCGCGTGGTTTGCCGCTGCCCCAAGGGTCGCGCTCGCCTTCGGCATGGGCAGCGCAGAGGAGCTCCTCGCGAGGCAGGCCACGGGCACGCAAGACTTCGCCAGCGCCGTGGTCGCGTCCAACGCCAGGGTGGGCAACGCATCGCACAGCCTGCAGGTCTCGTTGGCGCAGGGCGAGAGGAGCAGGCAGAAGGACCTGATGAGGCTCATAATGATCGTCCTTCAAGCGAGGACAATGGCCAGGCTGGACGACCGCACGCTCGGCCGCATCCAGTCCTGCGCAGGCTCGGGCGCCAGGCCTTCACGCTGCTGCCCACGGAGCCGGATCATCGGATGGCGGCCGACTGTACCGGCTGTCTGTTCGGAGGCGCCTTCAGACGGAGGGCCCGCAGTTGATCAAGGGTCATGCGTTGCAGGCGCACTGTCAGAACAAGTCCCGCGACGGGATTGTCGACGGACCGATGCGTGATCCGAACCAGCACCACGCCATCGCGTGCGAAACGGAGTCTGCCCGCACTGCACGGCACGACAGGATCCGCGACTTGCTGGCGCGCTGGCTGCCCAGGAGGGTCCCTGGTCTGGTTCGCGCTGAGCAGACGGTGCCGCAGTGGCTCCGACGGCGCCGGGGCCCAGTGACAGGCCAGAAGCGCCCAGACCTGGGGAATCTGGATGTCAGGTGGTGCGAAAAAGGCTCGGGGCATGCCATGGACGTGGTAGTCACGAACCCAGACTCCACCGAGCCTCGCGAGGAGCGGGCCAAGGCGGCCCATCCGGGGTTGGCGGTTGAGGACTCGGCGCGCGGCAAGCAGTTGCGGTACCCGCCAGGGCCCACCACGCCTCTGCTAACACCCTTCGGTGGAGACAGGGGGCCGCGTTGGCGAGGCCGCAGGCAGCTGGTCCTGGACAGGGCGAGGCCAGCGCCGGCGTAGACGCAGCAGCGTTCTGGCAGGAACTCTCGGCCACCCCGCAAACAGGTGTGGCCGATCAGATCCTGTTTTCCCACCAGCCGGCGGCCCCGCCAGGAAGGCGCCCAGGGGGTCCAGGACGAAGCGGATGATGAGATGATGATGATGATGATGATGATGATGATGATGATGATGATGATGATGATGATGATGATGATGATGATGATGATGATGATGATGATGATGATGATGATGGTGGTGATGA